CTTTTCGTCTCGGGCTCCGCTGCGCTCGAAGGTACAACACAACATCAACGTGCTCGGTCCAGCGCGGATTGCAGTGGAAGCAACCGAGCACTCGCAATGAATGCTCTCTACTCCACCTCCGTCTAGCCGATCGACCTGTTAAGTAAGTACAGGTCCCGGCGGCCATCAGAACTCTGGGTTGTGGCGTGACCGAGGGTCGTAAAACAGATTGCGAATTGAACAGCTCTAAGTCCAAGTACTTGGGAGTGCGACGCCAATCTAAAGTGGAGAAACAAAAAATGATGTGCGATACGAGGTTAAATGATGCCTGCAGGGGTCAATAAAACGATAGCCCTTGAACTCTGTGCATGGCGACGCCCGCATCGAGGGTCGCGCGTAAAGATGCTCTCATCAGGGTCGGCCCTCACAGGGGTCCAGACATTGTTCACAACCACCTCAACCCCGCTCCTCCTCTTCACCTCTTCCATGCCTCCCCCTCCTACGGGCATCACGACTGGTGGCAGAAAGAAGCGGCCTCCCTTTCACGCGAATCAATTGAGAGATGCCGACTCCATGGATTGCCCTGATGGGCTCAGCATTACGGCCAGGAATATGGAGGCGGAGCGGACCGAGGTGCGGGGCTCCACTCAGCCGCTGTTCGTGTCGCGCGCCGTTGCGTTCGAACATACACTGCAACATCAAAATGGTCGGTCCAAGCAACCAGGCACACGCAATGAATGCCTCCTCGTCCTCCACCACCCCCTCATCTCATCACCTGAATACATCCCACTCTTCGTCTCGGGTCCATGGACTGGCCCGGTGGCCACGTGCCTCAAGGACCTACCACTACGGCCAGGAATATGGTGGCGCAGCGGACCGAGGAGCGGGGTTACACTCAACCACGGTTCCTCTCGGGCGCCGCTGCGCTCGAACAGAAACCACAACATCAACGTGCTCGGTCCAGCGCGGGTTGCAGAAAAACCAACCGAGCGTTCGCAATGAATGCCAACTACTCCTCCCCCACCTCCTGTCCTCCTCTACATTAGCGCCAACATGTCTCGTGCATCAACACGGGTGGCTGAAAGAAACGGCTTCTAATACACGTTCGTCTCGGGCGTTGTTGGATTGGACCGTGCACCACAATATCAAGGCGCTCGGTCCACGGTTTAATGCAGAGGAAACAGCCGAACGTTCGCAGCGAATGCCGTCGATTTCCCATTCCCCATCCACCATCCACTCTCGCCGACCCTAGCCCGCCCGAACCACAAGACAGACGCGTCTCATATTATAGTGTGTTGTCTGGTTTGGCACCAGCATGCACCACGGAACGACGCGATGAATGAATAACTTGGCATATTCCTTGAAGCACCCACCGTCCCGCTCCCGCCATGAAGGCTGGCACGGTGGACCCAAGCAGGGCGAGGGGAAGGACGGGTAAGATTCTACAACAGAAGAGGGCGGGCCAGGAGGGAGGGGTAGGTTAGAGAGGCCTCTCACATTGTAGATGTGCTGATGTTGAGCGTGTCCGTGGTTGCGGTGGCCAATGGACCGCGAACAAAAGTTTTATATCATCCCGCTCCACTCGCTGTATTGTTTAGGCGAACGTGTTGCCCTGTCTCAGAATTGTCGGACGGGACGACGGTATTGGAAGGCGGTGGTTGGTCACGATTATCCTACGGAATTGGCGCAATTACAGAACATTATTTTGCTATGCGTGAACTTTGTTTGCGCCCAAATGTGTAAAGGAAGTAGCCGCGCGTGCACCCTCAACCATTGCATCTGAAAGAGGCATGGTGATATCCGTCTCAATTGGGAGTAATGTTTCAAAGCTGCTTGCAGAACGCTGCGCAATGGATTCCGTAGGATATGGTACCAGAGCGTACAATTCGTCGAGTTTCGCTTCTGTCGGCAGACGGGGAATATGTTGTGGTGGAGGTGGCAATACCAATAGTTCAGTTTATTGGTGATACGTGTCCAATTTAACGGCATGTTTTTCAGCAGCATCGTTTGCCGATGTGCTTGTAACATGTGTCCTCTGGTCCCGTTCCGTTCGCCTTTTCGATCGGCGTTTCAATTCAGTGAAACATTGTGGTGCCAAGATGCGCCCTGCCCATCTTGATAGTGTTGCTGGAACTGTCCGTTACGTTGATCTGAATAGCCCATCGGAGTGGCATACGGATTGTCTACTACGTTGATCTAAATAACCACTTGTATGGCCGTCGCAAGGTTGCCTGTGGGGGGAAGGCATCGCGGGGTCATCAAAACAAATGGGTTCCATGGCGGCGCGGCTTGCCTTAGCGAGCAGGGCGCAGCTTGCCCTGGCTGGTAGGGCGGCGCGCTCCTCACAACCTCTCAATGGCCCGAGAGGTCATGATCTACATCCACCTTCCCCTCCTCCTCCTCCTCCTCCTCCTCCTCCTCCTCCTCCTCCTCCTCCTCCTCCTCCTCCTCCTCCTCCTCCTCCTCCTATGTATGCAGCTCCCCTGTTTCGACTGCGCATAACACGATACTTGTTTGTTTTGAGTTCCAGGTCGGCTATGACACGCGTCTGCGGATAGAGGAAACACACACACACACACACACACACACGTCGCAATGGGAAGGAAAGGGAGGGATGGGATGGGATGTCAGATGTGGTGCGAACGCACCTAGCTTGTCTTCCCCACTCTTTCTACTCCATTCCTCCCTCTCCTCCGTCTCCTTTCCCCTCCCTGCTGCTATTCTGGGACTTCTCCCCACGCTCGGGATTCGCCACGTCTTGAGTTTTGAGTCTTCAGCCCACTTCCCCGATCTTGGACCCGATGTACCTCATCATTTGTTTTCCTGTCCCTCCCCCCCCCCCGTCCTCCTTCCCCCACGAGACGAAGAGGCAGTGTGCCCGTGACGGCTCGCGCGGGTAGGTACGAGAGATCGTCGCGCTCTTGGCGGAGAAGCACGACTGGAACGCCGGCCGGGCCTGTAACAAAAGCCCTGGGCCACACCCCATGCCCGTCGGGGGGAACGTCAGGGAGGGGCGGAAGTTGTTTGAAAGGTTTCGAAGCCCAGGGTGGTTCCCATCAGCTGCGCTTCGCCGTAAGCGTTCCAGGGGTGCCACGAACGGCCGCCGGAGACCTGAGGTATGTCCCGAAGCTCGTTCAGGGGCAACTGTAGGGAGAGGTATTTAGGCTCAGGGGGGGATGCATCGATCCCCAATCGCTCATTCGTCTCCGACAGAGGCCCGATAGCTCACGCCGCCCAGAAGCGTGCGGATTTGCAATCGGGGGCATATCGCCGACCTGTCGGCGACATATTGCCGATTCCAGCTCGATGTTTCCCCCCCTGAGCCCGTCTCGTTCGGAGAAGTGCCATGAAGCTTGGTGCACATGACGCGGCCAGCCCGTCGAGAGCTCGATACACGTGTCTTGATGCCTTTATTCAATCGCTTCGCTCATTCCGCCGGCCCGTATTGCATGATCGCTACTGCTTCGGCGCGGGCTCGGGGCCATTTCGGCGCCGCCGGAAGGAGGAAGATGAGGATGGGGAGGGGGAGGGGAGGAGGAGAAGAGGATGAGAAGGAACGGAGGAGGATGAAGATAGTTATGAGGAGGAGGAGGAGGCAGAGAAAAGGGCGGAGGAGGAAACCTCTCGATGGCGTCTTGCGGCGCTCTTGGGGCCAAACAGGGCCGTCGTCCAGATGCTTCTTTGGGAGGCGCTAGGGTCTATTGAGAGGCCGTTCGGGGGCGCCTGGGAGACATTTTTGAAGCCTTGTAGGGCTTCTTTTGGGAGGAGCCTTGGAGCCTCCTGGGGTCTCTTGGGGGCCTCTTGGCGGCATCTTGGGCCATCTTGGGGGCCTCTCGGGGCCTCCTGGGGCCCTCTTGGGGCGGAAGGCTTGAGGTTTCGGTTCGTGGTTCCCATCTTGGGCCCCTCTTGGGGCCGTCTTGGGGCTCTCTTGGGCCGTCTTGGGCGTCTCTTGGGCCGTCTCGGGGCCCGTTTGGGCTCTCTGGGGGCCTTCTTGGGGGCCTCTTGAGCCGTCTTCGTGCGCTCTTGGGGGCCTCTTGGGCCGCCTTGGAGCATCGGAAAGCCGAAAATGCGACAAGGCAAACATCCTTCCAAAACCATCGTAAAATTTATGATTTTGGCCTCTCGGGGCGCTCTTGTGAGGCCTCTTGGAGGCCACTTGGAGCGTCTTGGCGGCTTCTTGGGCCGTCTTGGGATCATTTTCGGCGTCTTGGAGCGTCCTTTGGGCGTCTCGGGGGCCTCTTGGGCAGTCTTGGGGGCCTCTTGGGGCCCTCTTGGCGCGCTCTGTGGGGCCTGAGAGGCCTTACCCAGGAGGAAAACCATCTCTGAGTAGACCTTCCCGGGACCTTCCTGGGCTGCGGTCGGGGTATTTTTCGCCGGGGGACCCCCAGGGGCCGCCCCGCGCGCCCGAACTAGAAGAATTGTGAACCAGTTACCGGAGATCTTAGCACGCCTCTGGCCCGTTGGGCCGGCGAATTTGGGCCCCCTGAGCTGGTCCACCGCAACGTTCCCCCTCATGCCCGCTGCCGAGGGCCACGCCGCCAGGGGGGCGTGCGACCGCTCGGGTGCGCTGCGCCAGCGCGCAGGAGGACCAGTCGCGACAACGACGGCCCTCCCCGAGTTCGGGCTGCCAGGCCCGGCGTGGTCTTGGCACCCTGCTCCAGCGCGTGAGGAAATAGTGCAGTACACTAGAGGCTGAGGAGGAGGAGGAGCCGGAGGGGGACACGGTGGTACTTGAGGGCGCGGGGAACAGGAAGGGCATGTTGAGAGATACCCGAGTCTACACCAGTGCGATCTCTTCTCTCCCCCTTCGCACCCACTCCTCCTCCCCCTTCCCTCGCCTCCGACTCCCTTCTCCCACTACTTCCTCCACGCCTCTGCGCACTCCCCCACTCCTCGCCTCAGCCTCCTCCCATCTCTCGTCCTCTTCCCCCTCCCACCTCCCCTACCACCTCGTGCCTCCCCCCTGTACTGTAGGGGGTGTTGGCACTCCACGGGGCTTCGGATAACACGAAGGTTGGTGTGTGTGTCGTTTGCTTTGCGAAGTTTCTGGCTCCAGCTTAAAGCAATCGAAAGCGCCGCATCCTGATTCATGATGCCATCTTGCAGACGCAGACAAGAAACTCAGGGCGCACGTGTTGCCCCTTTTTTCGCGCGCATTGCGCATTGCTTCGCAGTTGACTGGCCAGCCGTTGATGTATATAAAGCCCCAGACGGTACCTGCTCTCAGGAATTCTCATCTGTTTTGTAAGGAATTGGTTGGTTGTTCAGTGTTCTCGCCTGGTGCCCGCCCGCGGGCGCTTCGTAGGCGCCTCCTGGGCTGGCTGGGTGTTCCGAGTTTTCGCCCCGTGCCAACCTCGAGGCGCGTCGTGGGGGTCTCGTGCGTTGGCGGGCCGTTCTTGGCGCAACCCAAACATTGCACCCCAGAAAAGTGCACCGCATAGATTGCACAACATGTTTAGATTGCAGCGCAGTGCACCACATAGCTTGTACACAGTAGCATGCAAGCAGCAGCTTGCAGCACATGGTTTGCACCACATAGATTCGACCGCATTGATTGCGCGCACCTTCTACATTGCACCACATAGATTGCAGCCCGTAGCTTGCATGAAATAGCTTGCACCACAGCTTGCTTAAGGTGCGTTCACCTTTCTTTAAAATAACACGATGTACCCCCTGGACTTAACGATCCCCCTAGTTCGTATTATGATTCACGTGCGATTCTGACCAATCGTCCACCTTAACTATGAATTCGTACCATCCCAAAAAGGCCGGTATCGCCCTTCCCTCATCTTTTGCGAAGACTACTATGCGCGCGCATTCGCTTATCCAAAATCATAAGTTGGCAGGAGTCACTTGCCAAAAACGAGACGAAGTTTACGCGCGCGCCGTCGCGCGCGCATGCCGGAGTCCTTGAAAAACCTCAGGTGTCGCAAGGATTTCTCTAAACCGAGAGTCCCGGAACAAAAAAAAAATATAACACGTAGTTTCGCAACAAGGATGTTCAAACAAAACTTGCGTTCGGGCTTTTGAGAATTTGTGATATCCAAAAAAAAACCATACGTTGTTCCAATACCTTCATTTCCCGTTACCAGACGGGCCTCTCGCGCCCGCATGTCGGAATCGCGAGAACGCCTTTGCGCGCGTGTTGTCCCAAGAATTTGGTGTAACAAACGGGACGACACGCGCGCGCCGTCGCGCGTGCATGCCGAAGTCCGCCAAAAACTTCGGTTGTCACAGGGATTTCAAAATCGAGCGCCCCGGAAGCATGTAAAGCATATGGTTACAACATATGTTGGGTTATTGTTGTTTTAATTTGTTCAACAGAAATGCATTTGCGTTGTTGCGAATTCTTTAGAAGCCATTGGTTGTTCACCACTTCCATGCAATTCTGCCAGACTTGCCTTCCGCGCCAAATGTCGAAACCATTCTCCGCATTCGAAGCTCTTGAAACAAAAAAACCTACATCACCGACGCGAGGACGCCGTCTCCGTTGTCGGCTTAATTAGCATCGGCGCCATCACTGGCCGCGCCGCCGTCGTTGTCAGCATCGTCACCAGCATTGCTACCATCATCATCGCGTCTACCGCTGTCGACGTCGCCACGATACCGCGCCCGCCCAAATGGCCGACTCGCACTGAGGCGCCAGCTGGGAAGAGCCCAGCGGTCAGCGCCAACGCGGCCGCGGCGACGCGCCAGCCGGCGCCCAGCAGGATTCGCAATTGCCGCCGCGCGGGTTTTGCAAACCAAGTCGCGGGTGGGTTGGCGGGGCGATGGCGCGAGCAGTGCGCTTGACATTTTCAAGTTCGGCAGGGCGAATTGCTTCCTTCAAGGAGAATGGGCTCCACCCCCGCCCCCCTGGATTATCGGCTCACCTTTTCGCACGTCAAGTTGCATGTGATTCTGCCCCGTCGCCCATCGCTACTGCGAGTTCACGCCGCCCCATCCCATAGGGGGGCCGGTATCATTTGCAAAAAATGCTACGCGCGCGAAATCGGTTATCAACAATCAGCAGTTTTCAAGAATCCCTTGCAACAGAATCAAACGAAGTGCACGCGCGCTCGTCGTCGCGCGCGCGTGCCGGAATTCCCCCATGTCGTTCGGCGTCGCAACGGTTGCAGAAAAAAACGGAGCACCCAACGAACATATAGAAAACACACGGTTTCGCAACACTTATGTTCAAGAAGGCTGGCGCGCGCGCCCTTGCGAATTCTTCGGGAAACCAAGGGTTTTCCTTCGCGTTCATAAAATGCTACCAAGCGGGCGTCGCGCGCGCCGTCGCGCGCGCGCGCGCATCTTGGGGGCGCGCGATTCGTGCCAAAAAAAAAAAACACGCCCGCCTTCTTGTGGAAACTGGGGCGACGCGCGCGCGCGCGTCGTCGCTCGCGCGCGCCCGCATTTTTCAAAAAGGCGCTGCGTTGCAAGGAGATCAAAACCGAGCGCCCCCCGAACACGCATATATAAACATACGGTTTTGCTGCGAGGATGTTCAAAACAAGATTGCGTTTGCGCTTTACGGGCCCTTCGCGCCGCATGTCGACATCATTCGAACGCCCTCGCACGCGTGCTGGGGGGGGCACGATCCGCGTCAAATAATACCACGCGGGTCGCTCTCGCGCGTCGGCTGCGCGCGCGTGTCGAAGCCTTTCCAAAGACTCCATCACCGACGCGAGGGCGCCGTCATCGTCGCCTGCGCGATCTGCATCGGCGCCGGCCGGGCCGCGCCGTCGTCGTTGTCAGCATCGCCACAAGCATGGCAAATACCATTATCGCGTCTACCGCCGTCGACGTTGCCATGATACCGCGCCCGCCCACGTCGCCGACTCGCACTGAAGTGCCCGCTGGGGCGCGCCTGGCGGTCAGCGACGCCGCGGCCGCGTCGGTCGCGCCAGACATGCCGGCCGCCGCGCGCTTGTGTCGGCGCGGCTGCAGAGATGCGCCGGCCAACGCCAAGCGCTCATCGCAATCGCCACCGCGTAGGTTTCACAGACCAAGTTGCGGGTGGGTGGGCGGAATGTTTGCAAGGTCATGGAATGCGTCAACTCGTTGGCGCAGATCAATTCTCCGCCCCAAAAAGAAAAATCGCCCCCCCCCTTCCAGGATCATCGCCTCCCCTTTGCGTATGGCAATTTGCGCATGATTCTGCCCCGTCGCCCATCCTGAATATGAGTCCACACCAGGAGTGCCGGCATCCGCCCTCCACCACCACCACCCCCCCCGCCATCGTCTGCAAAAAAAAAAAAAATATCACGCGCGCGCACCCGTTCATGCGAAATCATCAGTTTTCACGAACCCTCACAACAAACGGGACGAAAATGCACACGCGCGCGCTGCCGCACGCGCGCGTCGACATCGCGCCAAAACCTCCGGAGTTGCCCCGATTTAAAAATCGAGTGCCCGAAGACATATATAAGATCAGAGGGGTTCGCAACACTGAGTTTTCCTTTCGCGCTCTCGCGAATTCTTGAGAAATAGATTTGCTTGTTGTCCGTAACTTTCACAAAATGCCACCAAACGGGCTTCGCGCGCGCATGTCGAAATCTTTCGAATGCCTTTGCGCGCGCGCCGTCGCGAGGCATGCTGAAATCCGTCAACGCCTTCAGTTTCGCAGCGATGTCAAAACCGAGTACCCCCAAAAACATGCAGAACCAATTGGCTCCGCAACGTCAGTTTTCAAAACAAGACAAAAAAAAAGACTCGCGCTCGCGCTCCTGCGAACTCATGGGAGCCATTGTTTTTCAACACTGCCATGAAATTGTTCCATCAAAGCCTCTCGCGCCGCATGCCGGAATCACTCGCGCGCCCTCGCGCGCGCTGAAGGGGGCACGATCCGCGTCAAAAAATACCACGCGGGCCATTCGCGCGGCGGCCGCGCGCGCGTGTCGAACTCTTTCCAAAGATTTCATCACCGACGCGAGGACACCGTCTCATCGTCGTCGGTGCAATCAGCATCGGCGCCCGCGCTGGCCGCGCCGCCATCGTCGTCAGCATCGTCGCCAGCATTGCCGCTAGCACCATCGCGTCTACCGTCGTCGACGTTGCCGTGGGACCACGCCCGCCCCGGTCGCCGACTCGCGCTGAAGTGCCTCTTGGGACGTGCCCAGCGGTCAGCGCCGCCGCGGCCGCGTCGGTCGCGCCAAACTAGCTGGCCGCTGCGCGCGCGCGGGTCGGCGCGGTCGCAGAGACGCACCAGCCAACTCCAAGCACTCAGCGCAATCGCCACCGCGTAGGTTTCCCGAGCCAAGTTGCTGGCGGGCGGGCGGGATGCGTGCAAGTGCATGGAATGTGTCAGTTCGCCCCCCCCTTCCGGGATCATCACCTACGACTCACACCATCCTAAATACGCGCTCCTCCATGCCAGGGCGGCCAGCATCCGCCCACCCACCCCCCCCCCCCCGCTACCATTTGCAAAACAAAAATATCACACGCGCGCACTCGTTTATCAGAAATCATCAGTTGCCAGGAACCCGCACAACAAACGGAGCGAAGTGCACGCGCGCGCGCCGTCGCACGCGCATGCCGAAATCGTTCAAGAAGTTGCGTTTACATTAGGATCCTCACAATCGAGAGCCAAAAGAAACATATAATACCAAAGGGTTTCGCGACAAGGTTTTCCAACAAAAAAACAATCCAAAAAACTCGCGCGCGCTCTCGCGAATTCTTGCGGAAAACGCTGTCTTCTCAACACTTCCAGAACGTGTTACCAAGCGGGCTTCGCGCGCGCACGTCGCAATCGCTCGAACGCCCTTGCGAGCGCGCCGTGGCGAGAACCCTTTGCACAAGTTCCTGCGAAGCGCGCGCGCTTCGCTGCGCGCGCATGCTGACATCCGCCAACAACCTTCGGCGGCGCAGCGATTTCAAAACCGAGTGCCTCAAACACGCGCAATGCATTTAGACTCGCAACATCAGTAATCAGAATTCGCGTGCTCGCGCTCTTGCGAATGCTGGAGGAAACCATTGGTTGTTCAACATGAACTTCTGCCAGCGGGGCCTCTCGCGCCGCATGCCGAAATCACTCGCGCGCCCTCGCGCGCGCGCGGGGGCGGGGGGGGGGCGCGATCCGCGTCGCATAAGAACCGCGCGGGCCACTCGCGCGTCGGCCGCGCGCGCGCGTCGAACACTTTCCAAAACCTTCACCACCGACGCGAGGGCGCCGTCACCGTCGTCGGTGCGATCAGCATCGACGTCCGCACTGGCCGCGCCGTCGTCGTTGTCAGCATCGTCGCCAACATTGCCAGTGGCATCGTCGCGTCTACCGTCGTTGACGTTGCCATGAGACCGCGCCCGCCCAGGCCGCCGACTCGCGCTGAAGTGGCCTCTGGGATGCTGTGCCCAGCGGTCAGCGCCGCCGCGCGCACGTCGGTCGCGCCCAACTAGTTGGCCGCTGCGCGCGCGTGCTTGGGTTGGCGCGGCCGCGGAGGTAGACCAGCCAACGCCGAGCACTCATCGCAATCGCCACCGCATGCGTTTTGCAAACAAGTTGCGGGTGGGTGGGTGGGATGACTGCGCGAGCAGTGGAGTTGACTCATTTCGAACAGAGCTTAACTGCATCCCATATATTCTCCTTTCTACAAGAGTATTAGGACCGATCCCCTTCCATTATAACTGTCTACCTTTTTCGTATTGCAATTTACACGATTCTGCCCCGCTGCCCGTCTTAAAAACGGATTCGTATCACCCCTGCCAAATCGGCGACGCCCCCCCCATTCACCCTCCGCCAAGAAACAGCGCACGCGTATTCGTTTATCAGAAACCACAAGTTTCCAAGAACCCTGGGCATCTGGTTTTGCAGCATGTTTTTTTTTTATTTAAAAAAAGAAAAAAAATCATGTTATGCGTTAGTGCAAAAACTTGCGTTCGTGCTCTTGCGAATCCTCAAGAAAACCATTGGTTGTTCCACCAGTTTCGTAAAATTCTGCTGGAAAGGCCGATCGCGCCGCATGTCGACATCATTCGGACGCCCTTGCGCCCGCGCTGGGGGGGCAAGATCATTTTCAAATAGTAGCATGCCTGCCACTCGCGCGCCGGCCGCGCACGTATGTCGAACGCTTTGCAAAACATCCATCACCGACGCGAGGACGCCGTCACCGTCGTCGGCGTGATCACCATCGGCGCCGTCAATGGCCGTGCCGTCGCCGTTGTCATTGCCGTCGCCAGCATCGCTAGTATCATTATCGTGACTACCATTGTTGACGTTGCCATAATACCGCGCTCGCCCAAGTGGCCGACTCGCACTGAGGTACCCGCTGGGAAATGCCCACTGGTCAGCGCCACCGCGGCCGGGTCGGTCGCGCCAAAGTAGCTGGCCACTGCGCGCGCGAGCACGCTCGAGCTAGTGTGGCCGCAGGGATGCACCAGCCAACACCAAGCAGTCATCGCAGTCGCCGCCGCATGCGTTTTGCAAAACAAGTTGCGGGCAGGTGGGTGGGAGGATTGCGGAGCAGCGGACTTGACAAGTGCGAAGTCCACAAGCGCAATGCACCACATCGATTGCAACGGACCACACATAGCAGAGTTCCGTATCCCAGTGTTTGGGGTCGACGGTGGCTAATATTGTAGTGATATTGTTGTGTGCATCCCTCAGGTGAGCCCAGAGGTTGAGGAGTGCATTGCCAATACGGATCTTCCTGCATATAGAGAAATACTCAAGAGAGGCCACCAGCCGGAACCGGGATGGGACGAAAAAGTCCATGGTGCATTCCTGGACGACAAGCGTGTGCGTCATTTGGCCACTGGCGGGTGTGTTTTCGAGAAGTTGAGCGTGTACGTTGTCCTTGTACAGTTGTTATTTGAAGGGTTTCGCCTCCTTGCCGTCAGCCCCCCTCCCAGATTGCTTGCATGGCCACGCTTGGTCGGGTGGTTAGTTTGTTGTTCGGTCGGTTGGCTGACAGCTCGGCTGATTGGCTTGTTGTTTGTGTGTATATATAGATATGTATACAATACGGTTGGCTGTTATTGTGGGGTGTTCGCTGGTTGGCTGCGGATCTGCAGGAGGATTTGCTGTAGTTTGCAAGGGTTCGTGGTTTCGGGGGCGCGCACCCATTCGTTTTTTGAAAGGAGTTGTGGCCTCAGGCCCAGCGACGGATTTTCAGGAAACGACGCAGGGGGCCGAACAGAACAATTACCTCGAACACATACCTGAATACAGCACATGTGAGGTTCTCTGTTCTGAATGGCGTTTTGGGGCAGCCTCCGTGGGGTGAGCTCATGGCCTCGAGAGCGCGAGTTCGCATTAGTTTACAGTGGGTTGTGTGACCTCGGGGGCGCCACTCTGTTGCAGACTGCAGAGGGATGTTGCATCGGCAGCTCGAGCGCCTCGTCATTTGCAAGGGATCGGTGCCTTTGGCACGAATCTGTTGTGAGTTACAAGGGGGTGCGGCAACGGCAGCGACTGCGTCGTACCTCACAAGGGATTGTGGCTTCGGGAGCGGATGCAAGCTGTGAGTAAACAGAGAATGTGGCCTCGGGAGCGCGAATGTGTCGCAGTTTCTCCAGCTGCCTACGGTAAACCACGCGCCACCATGTTTGTGGAACAGCACAGTAGGAAGGAGGCTGAGTGTAGGAACAGCGCAATTCCGACGAGAGGTCTGACTTGGGACAGGTCGTGAATTCGACCTCGTCTTCGTCCGCACGGTCGGAAGGTTGTCGAGTTCACATCCCACGACAATTCAGCGATTGGTCTGAATTGGAGAGGGTCGTGATCTCAACCTCGTCTTCGTCCGCGCGGTAGGGAGGAGGAGGAGGAAGAGGAGGAGGAGAAGAAGGAGAAATTGAGGATGAGGAGGAGAAGGTTTCTCAAGGCCTCCTGGCAGCCTCCTGAGGGCCTCTTGGGGGCCTCCCTGGGCCTCTCAGGGTTTCTTGGGCCGTCTTCGGGGGACTCTTAGCCCGTCTGACGCCGTCGGATAAAGTCTTGGGGGCTTCTCTGGGCCGAATTGGTACCCCCTTGGAGCGCTTCAGGGCCATCTTGGGAGCCCCTCGGCCGATCTTTGGGTCCTCTTGGGCCGACTTGGGGCACTGTTGGGAGCCTCTTTGGTGTTTCCTCGGAGCTATATTGGAGCTGCCTTGGACGGCTCTTGGGCCGTCTTGGGCGGTTGCAAACAAAACAGGCGAGCGAGAACCTCAGAATCCTTCAAATACATGAGGACAATACATGTGTGTTGCTTCCTCGGGATCTCCTGGGGAGCCTTGTGGAGCCCTCTGGGACCGTCTTAGGGGCCTCTTGAGCCGCCTTGGGCCATCTTGAGCCGTTCTGGTGCGTCTTGGCTTGTCCTGGAAGCCGTCTTGGAGGCCATCTTCGCCGTCTGGATACCGAAAAGAGCGCCAATCATTTCAGACTGGCGACTTTTTGGGGACGCGCGGGACGAGAGGGGGCGTCGGCCCTAGAGAACACTAAAACACTTCCCTGACAGCAGACGAGCATGACGGAAAGAGCGCTAGCGCGAGAAGTTTTGTATAGGGTTTTAGCCTCAATGGGGGGGATCTGGGGGGGGGCGTGGCGGAGGATTTTTTCTAACACGCCTTCCGGGGGCCATCTTGGTTGTTGTTTATGCATTGGACGGTCCAAGAGACCCCCAAGAGGCCCCAAAGACGGCTTAAGGTACTTCCAAGACGGCCCAAGAGACGCCCAAGAGGCCGCAAGACAGCCCAAGAGCGCTCCAAAAGGGGCGAAGATGGTCCCAAGACGGTCCAAGAAGCCCCCCAGAAGGCCCAAGAGGCCCCCACGAGGATTTCCAAGAGGGACTTCGGAGGCAAAAGCCATTGCCCTAAGGTTGTTTTAGGATTTTGGGGTTCTCGCCTTTTCGGTACAAAAACGACCACACACGGCCCTGGGGTCCTCCGAGGTCGCCCCAAAACGTCCCCAGATGGTCCCAAACGGTCCTGGAGCGCCTCAAGACGGCCCAGGAGAGCCCTAAGACGAGCCAAAGAAGGCCCCACAGAGGCCCAAGAGCCTCCCAGGAGAGCCCCAAGGGATCCACAGGATGCTCACAAGAGGGCCCCGAGAGCGCCCCAAGCCGGCCCAAGCCCCCCAAGACAGTCCAAGAGGGCCCCAGAGAGCCACCAAACGGCCCAACAGACCTCCAAAAGGCCTCCCAGAGGTTTTCCGAGATGCCTCCAAGAGCCTCTTACGAGGCCCCACCAGAGCGAATCGTGCCGTCAAACACTCTGACCGCCAAGGCTCCTCGCCCCGTCCTTGTATCCTTCGCCAAGCACTCTGTCACCCTTCGTCCTCCCAGTTTCCTTTCTTCCGCTCTCCTCTTCCCCTCTCTCCATGAATTGTCCACGGCGGCCGTCCTACCGTGACTCTCACTCCAGTTTGTTCCAACAAGCATGCATCGCGATCCCTATGTCCAAATCGTTGCCGCGTAAACGGCCGCCGAACCCCCGAGACCGTGTGAGATATCCGCTCCACGGACCCGCTCTTTCCGTTCCCGTGCCGGCCCAGGTTCTAACACGCCCATTCCATGCAGGCACGGTAGCGGATAAGGTATTGTAGCTTCGGTGGCGTGAGCGTGGTGTAATTCACGAGGGATTGTGTCTTCGATAGCGTGAGTAGTAAGTTGCTAGTGACTGCAGGCTCGGGGGCACAAACTTGTTGTAAGTCGCAAGAAGTTGTGGCCTCAGGAGCACGAACTTTTTATAATTTATGCTGAGTTGTGGCTTGGGGGAGCGCGAGCTCCTTGTAAATCGTCAGGGATTGTGGCCTTGGGGGGGCCAACGCGTCGTTTTCTGTGAGGGGTTGTTGCCTCGGGGGCACGAATCTACCGCATTTGCTTCAGAAATTCAGAGAAAACGTGGCTCTGGCGCGGTAACCTGTAGGTTTTCGAGCCAGGATCAACGCGTGGATATCACTTTCTCTAGCAGTGGGATCAGAGAAAAGAATATCGAAAATCGATCTAAATCATTGGGAATTGGATCTGTCGCAGGGATCAGGAAAGCCCAGGCCTCGCATCCAGTTGGCCCCCAAAGGGGGGGGGGCGGCGGATACCCAGCTATTGCGCGTGGGCATGCGCCCCGCGTGCTTGACGTTGGATGTGGAACCGGTTTTTTGACTTCAGTTCTTGCACGATTGGTGGCCCCTCGCGGCGGATCCGTGGTGGCAATTGACATGTTCTCTCGGCAGATCCAAAATGCGCAGCAGACGATGGCCTCCACGTGCCCGGAGCTGCTGCCGCACGTGGATTTCCAGGTCGCGAATGGTTGGGACTACAGAGATCCTCGCGGCACAAACTTCACTGCCATTGGGAGGCTCTCGTTCTATGTACCGATGTGTATCTCCTCCCCTTCCCTCCCCCTGCCCCCATCCTCGCCAGGGAGGGAGGAGGAGGTTGCCAAATTCTGAAGCAGAACCGTCCGCACCAGAACCGCACCGTCACTGAGGAGGCGGAGGAAGAGGAAGAAGAGGACAGTCGAGGATGAAGGTTTCTGATCATTTTATAGTTTGTTTCGCCTCTAGATGCCTCCAGAGACCTCTGGGGACTTCCAAGACCTCTAGAAGGCATACAGAAGGGAAGGGATCAAACTGATACATACGATGGTGGCCTCCCAGCCATCGCGGTTGCTGCCCAAGCTGCAGAGGTGCCAGAGGGCTTGGTTAAGCAGCTAGCTCCGAATGGTCGCTTGGTACTGCCGCTTGGTGGCCAATCATCCACCGACAGAATTCAGAGGAAGGTCTACCGAAAGTATTGGATGATTGAGAAAGGCGCCAGGGATGAAGCACATGAGCGACGAAAGAAAATGGGATCGACTGCGCCGACATTGGCGCGGAAGCTGCCTGCGTAAGCTCGCGCGTAAGCGCCCTACAATGTGGCGTGCCACGATTGCTGCCCGCGTAAGCCACTGCGTAAGGTCGCTATGCCACCTCGGATAAGACAGGTTAATCTTCGTCTCTCCAATGGGTTTGCGATGAGATTTCTTAGATCGACGCGCCGCGCGCGAGGGGGGGGGCAGCGCCGATCCAAGAACTCCGCGCGGATCTCCGAGAGTTTGTGTTTGTCCTGTTTTTTTCTCCCTTCAAGACAGCCCCAAGTAGCCCGGGGCGGTCTCAACCCGTTACCTTCGGGGCGCGGAGCACCCCAGAGGGGGCCGTCAGAGGCGCCGTTGGGGCCAGCCGGGACTGCCTGGGGTGGGCTGAGTTTGCGCAAGTTGAAGCTTTAGCGGCGAAGCTGTCCCCGATCTGGGCGCCCTGCCCTGCTCCAGCCCACTCGATGGTGCTTGGTTGCGAGAGCGCAGCCCGTTTAGTCCACTCTGTGCGGAGCGTCCGCCAGCGCCACGGCTAAAAGGTTGTTCGTTGTTGTGGTGTGGTTGTTGCGTGGTTGTCCCGTGTGGTTGTCGTGTGGTTGTTCTGTGGTTGCGGTTGTGCAGTGGCTCTTGTGGGGTGCGTGTGGTTGCAATTGGGTTGATAGTTCGGGCAATTAGAAGAGTTGAAACAGCGAGATGAGTTGAAATAGTGAGAGGAATGGGCTCATGAGAGCTCGAAAAGTTAGCTCGACAGACAGATCAATCCGTATAACAGATGGGAGTTTAGCCATCATTGACGGGTAGATATGAACATGGTTATGAATATACTACGACGGCTCTGTTGATTGGTTCACCGTGTGCTGGCATGGATAGATACACGCACGCGCAAACATATTTCTAATGGAAGAGAAGACCACAGCAGCTCGTGGAGATACAAAGCAACCGCGCCAGTATAGTGGTAACATCTAGAATCATTTGAACATCTGGACAGGTTATACGAGTTAGACGGCATGTTTGAGAAGAGTTGCAAAATCGAGCTAGACATGTAGACGGGCGCGTATGGTCGATTTCTCTGTATGGACGCATGGATCCGATGTGTAGGTATGAATGTAGGCAGGTCACCAGCGGGATGATGCCTTGACGTACAGCCAAGATCGCGAGGACCACGACCTCCACCGTCACAATCATTATCGTCATCAATCACCACCGATGCATCCTCAGGACCCGCCAGCCCTCAGAGAGTCCTCAATAGTTCGCGTGCCTGCGAAATATCTGTCACGGTGCCAGCGAAGCACTATGTGCCGATCCTTCGAGCACAGCCCTCAAGACCGTGACAAGTGAAATTGCCAGTCTCCACTTCTTGAGGAGCTCTCATGAGGACCGTTTGGGCCGTCGAGGGTCTGTCTTGGGCTCCTCATGGGCAGTCCTGGGGGCCGCTTGGGGCCCCCTTTGGGGCCGTCTCGGGGCCCTGATGAGACGCCTTGGGGCTCTCTTGGCCGTCTGGGGGGTCTCTTGGGGCCTTCTTGGAGGACCCCTGCGGGCCCACGGGCCAGCCCGGGGCTTTCTCGGGGCCGCCTGGGGGCTCTCAGCGGGCCCCATGGCACGGTGGCCTGTCCCTGCCCGACGTTGCACTCCTCCAGACGTCGTGCTGCTGCTGCCCCGCAGGGATGGACGGCGCGATCGGTTTCAGCGGGCGCTCCGGGCCCATCAACGTGAATTTCGTGCCCTTCCTGCCCCCCGTGCCGCCACCAGCCGCCACGCTGCAGGCCCAGCAGGCGCAGCAGCGGCAGCCGCCGTGACACGCCAGGGCGGGAGGGGGTGGGCAAGGGAGGCAAGGACTCGGGGGCCCCCAAGCGGTGCGGTGGCCACACCGTATAGCGAGTCAGCTGGGGATTCGGGTTTGAGCGCACGGTTTCTTGGGACTTCGGTCGTTCTCGGTGGACGTCTCGGGCGACAGGGCCCCCCAGGGCCCCAAAACCATGCGGCGACAGCTCCCGTGCGGTGAGGTCTTTAGGGACTCCGAGGTCGCAGCACGGACTGTCACCACACCGCTTCGGGCTTCCTGAGACGGACGGAGGGGGGGAGGTCGGGATCCGACGTCGCAGAAACATTTGGAGATCGTGGAAAACCCCGGCAGGAGCCTTGGACCCCATCTTTCTGCCCCAGTTCCCAGTTTTCGAGCCAGATGGATCCGCCAGGGTCCTGGGGCCCCGAAACCGGGCGAAAACGCTTGCGTCGAAAAATACAGTCGCCAGGACGTCAGGGAGGTCGGGATCCAGATCGGCCCCCGAGCTGCAGCCCCTCCTGGGATTTCCATTCGCATCGCTCGGACGTGTGCATGTTTGTCCGGCGAGGACCATCGAGGAGCATTTGGGCTCATCCTGCGGGAAAAATATAAAAACAAGAAAGAAAACGCACACGTCGAAACACGTGCGGGGAGTAGACGTCCGAGCGATGGCGAGAGGAGAGCTCCAGGCCTGGCCCGCCCGAGGCCGCACCTGCCTGGCCGGGCACGGCGAGAGCGCTGGCCCCGGCTTCCGGAGGCGGCGCTGGCCGAGGGCCTCGGGGCCCCCGCCGTGCCTCGACCCGCGTCCGACTGCACCGTGAGAGGGGCCCTTCGCCAGAGTGACCTTTGGGTGCGGGCCCCCCTGGTCGCCAAGGAGCATGCGACAGCAGCGGCTTGCGCGCTTGGGTCGGGGCCCCCCGCCCCTCCGCCCCCCCTCAAGCCGCGTACCAAAGGTCACTCTTGCCTGGGGTCACTCTTGCCAGGGCTGAACCTAAACGGTGTTTCTCGTTTTCGTTATGTGTTCGTTTTCCCTCGTTTTGTTTTCAATCCGCCCCTACTTACCGCAAAACGAAGTCGAAACACGGCCCGCGAAATCGCCAAAACACCGTCTAGGTCCATCCCTGACTCTTGCGTGTAGCCGACCGCGGGCCGCCTTTCGGCCCACACGGCTCGCACGCGGTCCAGGCCGTGCTCGCGGGGGCCGTCCCGTGGAGGGGCACCAGGGGCCCCCAGGGACGGAGCCGGAGGAAGAGGAGGAGGAGGAGGAGGAGGAGGAGGAGGAGGAGGAGGAGGAGGAGGAGGAGGAGGAGTAAGAGGAGGAGGGGGACGGGGGAGGGGGAGGCGCGGGAGGGGGACGGGGGAGGAGGAGGACGGGGAAGGGGTTGCGGCGTTACGGGTATGGCGACCATGTCGGTTACAGACTGAGCAAGTCAAATCGGTTGCTTGGGGGTCTTCTTGGCATGCTCGGTCTTGCTGCAAACTTTGGGCCAGAGCCCCGTGCTAATGCGATCAAGGTAATCGCTACGGTTACTGGTTATACCAAGCTTTGGGTCACAATATTTACCCAAGTTGACCACTTGTTCAGCTGCAAAACTACCACAGGATGTACGAAACCAAAGCCCCAGCCCCAAGTGAAACCGTAAAGAGTGAGTTTCGTGAGCGTAGCTTCCCGAGATGTGCACCCTGCGCCCAGGAGGAGGCTGACGACTTTCACTACTGGTTTTAAGTAGGTCGAAACACGGTGAGCTCAGCCACTCACTTCTCTTGGCGAGTGAAGTCGACCCTAGTGAGCGCGAGCAACTACGCCCGTCGTCTTTGAGACAATGCGGAGACGCGAAGGAAGCGCAAACACTGCCTGAGGGAGGACGCACAATCTGAGAGCGTCGACGGTTTCGTCTTCGGCCCTCTCGTTTAGCTGGAACCTCCTCGGCCTGTATTGCTTCGAGCGTGCTCTGTAGAATGCGCATGCGTACAACAAACGCTGAATGCCCAGCGTGCCATACATGCGCGCGTTTATAGTCTGGAAGGCGGGCTACGTCTGATCCGACCGCGGCGAACTTATCCGCGACACTGTTACCTAGGATGAGCAGAGGGTGAGCGGCTCTCAGAAATTGTTCGGCATCAAGGTGTGAGCTGATGAACAGCATTGTGCAAGACATGTTGGACCTACTACTAACAACTTCACCGATCCTCCACCATAGATCAGCATCGTGTCCTGCAGGTCTTCTCCATCGCTGCTCATACCAGCCCTCAAGAACGGACGAGTTGCCTGTCTCATCCGCTCTGCGTCCGTCGTTTTCTCTCATGGCAACCCACAGGCAGTAGAGCTCACCGCGTACAACTGTTTGCCTGGGCCCTGGGAGAGGCTCCCACACCCCCATGGAGAGGGACATGGAGGGGTCGAGGTTCTGATGGGCGGCCAGTCCTAACCCAACGCGGCGAAGGCGAGTCATTCCGATTCCGCCGGTTCGATCCGAATCGATTTCCGCGATTCCGATTT